TCTAATGAAGGATTGCTCGAGTTAAAGAGAAAAATTCAGGAATTATTTTGTGTCATCCATATTTTGCCGTGAACCTATGCGACATTTTGTAATTAAGGTCTTTCGACTTCCTTCGGAAGACCTTATTGTTTTCCGTCGGTTTCCTATTATTATTATTATTATTCTTTTTTCATAGTTATGGCGATATCTCAGCTGTGACTGTACGGATTTCAAAGATTTTTACAGGCAAGATGCACCAGGTTAATATCTCCAGACGTGTTTTTTATTTTTTCAAAATTTTCTTCCGTTCGCGATTTTTGGGGAAATTTGTATTTTTTAAATGGATTTTTGTACACTACTTTTCTCGAAAACGGCCAAAGATATGACATTGAAACTCATGGACATGAAAGACCATCCCATGTAGATGTGCCGAACGTCCTTCATTTTTTGTCGTTCCTACTTCCGGTCGCAAACGGAAGTGAATTCAAAAAGTCTAATTTTTCAACTTTTTTGTTTTTCAATATTTTTCTTTCGGATTTACAGTGTTTATAGAGCGTCTTCAAAGATATCTATATATGTTTTCATTTTTTTCATGCGTGCGTTTATTGCAAAGATTTGACCGAACCAAACTTTGTCTTACTGTCGGGGGTTCGAATCCCGCTCGGGGCGTTTCCCAAATTTTTTCTTTGTTTTTGTCTTTTTTCAGTTGCAAATTACTTTTCACTCTTTTATAACATGTGTGGAAGATTTTGCCGATTTTTAAAAGCTCTATTTGGAGATATTTTATGAAATACCTGGAACAATCACGATCTGTGTTGAGAAACTGCTGTAAATGAACGTAAACGAAAAAATACATTATGAAATCTATTTCATGGGATGACACAGACAAGATTGCAAAAGAGAAGTCGGTCGGAAGACCTGCTTGTTGCACCAGCAACAAGAACGCATCTAGTTATTATTATTATTATTTTTTCCCTTTTTGTTTTGACGATTTCTCGGAGATGAGTGGACGGATTCAAATGAAATTTTCAGAGATGATAGAGAGTTAAAATATCTTTCAAATGCAGTTTTCAGTTTTTCAAAATTCACTTCCGGTCGTCAGTTATGTCTGATTTCCGCTTTTTTCAAAAAAGTTTTGTCCCAGTCATATCTCAGAAACGGTAAGAGATTAAGACACCAAACTTATATGAGTAATAGATCTTGATAAGTATGCAAAACCAATTGGGGTAAGGTTGTCTGCCGTCACTTCCGGTCGTCACAGGAAGTGATCAAAGAAATCGAAAATTTCAACTTTTCTTTTTTGAAACTTTTTTTGCATCTCCTTATAGCATCTTGTTTGTAGTTTCGAAATATATCAGTCCCACCGGAAACAAAAACGACCACTTCCGGTTATAAGAGAAAAACTGCATATTTTCATCATTTTTCTCTCCCATAAATATTTTTTACACGTAATGTATTTGAAATGATTGTTGGATATCTTATTCAGACTGCAGATGTCTACAGTAACGTCAAATATCTTTGTAAAATTCACTTCCGGTCGCTAGATTTATTGTCCTCAAAATGAGAAGTTATCATAGCTAGATCTCGTAAACGATAAGAGATTAAGGCACCACACTTATATAAGTGGTAGATCTTGATAAGTAGGCAAGTTCAGTTGGGATACGATCGTCCGCCGTCACTTCCGGTCGTCACAGGAAGTGATCCAAAAATCAAAATTTTTAACTTTTCTTGCGTGAAACATTTTTTGCATCACATTATAACATCTTATTTGTATTTTTGAAATATATCAGTCCCACCGGAAACTAAAACGACAACTTCCGGTTAGAAGAGAAAAACTACATAATTTGTGTATTTTTCTTTCCCATAAATATTTTTTATACATAAAGTATTTGTAGTGATTTTTAGATATGTTATATAAACTGTTTTTGTCTACAGTAACCTCAAATATCTTTGTAAAATTGACTTCCGGTCGCGTGATTTTCTGTCCTCAATATGAAAAGTTATCACAAAGAGATCTCGGAAACGGTAAGAGATGGAGACGCCAAATTTGAATGAGTAATAGATCTTGATAAGTAAGGAAACTCATAAGGGTTAAGATCGTTCACCGTCATTTCCGGTCGTCACAGGAAGTGATAAAAGAAATAAGAAATTTCAGCTTTTCTTTTTGGAATACTTCTCGGCATCACATTATTGCATCTTATTGGTTGTTCTGATATATGTCCGTCCCACCAGAAACAGAAACGGCAACTTCCGGTTATGAGAGAAAAGCTGCATAAATTGAGTATCATACTATTCCATAAATATCTTTTATAGAAAGAGTATTTGAAATGATTTTAGAACATGTAATTCAGACTGCAAATGTCTAGAGTAACTAGAAATATCTGTTTAAAAATTGATTTCCGGTCTCATGATTTCCTATCCTCAAACTGAGTAGTTAACATGGCCAGATCTTGGTTATGGTAACACATCAAGAAACTTAACTTATATGAATAATAAACCTTGAAGAGTGAACAACAGATATAAAGATAAATGTCTCCGCCGTCACTTCCGGTCGTCACAGGATGTGATTTGAAAAATCGAAAATTCCAACTTTTTTCTTTCCAATTTTTTTTTTAATTACTTTATTGCATCTATTTAGTAGTTTTGAAATATGTCAGCTCCACCAAAAATAAATAAAAAAAATAAAAACAACGAAAACTTACAATTATAAGAAATAAAACAACACCAAAGGTCAAAAAGTCAAGGTCATTGGAAAAGTATTTAAATTGCTTATACATGCCACATAACCTTCACCTTTGAGTTTGATGTTTGACCTTGACCTTTGACCTTGACCCTTACCAAGATTTATTTTTTTTATATTTAGCTTGATACAGCTTCAAGTGTTAAAGTCGAGTTAAAAGGTTTTTGAATGACCTTGACCTTTGTCAATAAAATTGGATTCTCCTGCTCAAATACGATCTTTTAATACCAAGTATTCTTGATCTCCTTTGTATGTAGAGTTTATTTCAATTTTATTTACATTGAATATTAATTGAATGAATGTAGGAAATAGCGATTTTTCCCTACCGAATCAATTTCTACGCAATTTAGATAGCTTAGATAAATTGGAGTTACCTCGCTTTGAACAGTGTGGTGTAGAGAAAATGTCCATGACTCACAACTGCATGAGATGTTTTGACCCATGACCTTGAAGAGTAGGTCAAGGTCATTGGAAAACTAGATAAATTGTCGATTTAAGCTTAAAATCCAAATGACCTTGACCTTTGACCTTGATATTTGACCTTGACTTTTGACCCCTTACTCAAAAAGTAATAAAGAAATATTCATTACCTTTATCTAGATTCAGCTTCAAGTGTTAATCTCAAGTTTATCTCTCTCTCTCTCTCTCTTTCTTGGATGACCTTGACCTTGATAAATGACCCCCTATTGATCCAAAGGTCAAAATCAAGTTTAATGTCGTTGAGGTATTTGCAACTCTTACTCTAACAAATGCTTATATCCCCCCCTCCTTTCTTAAAAAAAAAATCAACAGCAGTATAGAGAAAATGTCTACAAGTCAAACGAGACAATAAATCGACATAAGATTCGGAGTAAAAGCAAGAAAAGACCTTAAAGAAAGTGTCCTGAGAGTTTTAAGTTGAGTCTCTAAAATATAATGAAATTCTAGGGAAAATCGGCAAAATCTGCATTTTTTTTTTGTCTGAAATGTTGTATTGCTGAGCATAAAAATTAATTAAAGCCCGTATTGGCTATTTTTGCAATTTTTGTTAATATCATTCGATTCTCCTGCTCTATTACGACATTTTAATACCAAGTACTCTTGCTTTCTTTAGTGTATGGAATTTATTTCAATTTTATTCGGATTTAATATTAATAGAATGAATCTTGATTTCATTTGAAATTTCATTTTTTTTTTCTAGAATAACACAATCCCAAGAAATAGCGACTTTCAGCATAGTAAAAAGCAATACACGTTTCTTCCCTGTGTTTCCCATCTAGAATTACATGTTTGGAATTTTATTTATGCTACTTACATTGAATTTCATGCCTATTTCGGTCAGGAGTGTTAAAACCCGAACCCGATTCTCTGTTTTCCTTTTCCATAATTACAAACTGCCTTGCATCTCTCGCTCATGTTTCTCACATGCTCTTAAATAATTTATCGCCCTCCATTTCAAACATAAAACAACTCAAATACTCTTTAATACATGTATAATGCATATGATGCAGGTACACATGGGACATTTCACAACGTTTTCACTTACGCTTCCGTCTTGATGCGCAGATCAAATGCATGTTATTCATATTATTAGGTATATCGTAATTTTAATCAGACACTACCCCTTACATCTTAACTAGAAAACAATCTCATTCAAGCTCGTATATACACCTAGGAGCGTGTTACAATGTTTTGAACGTGCTCTCTTTGCGTGATCAATGAAATCATGGTTGTCCCCGAGTCGACTCGTATAATCCAGGAAGTCTGTTTAGAGTATATTTATACCAACTGCGAGACCGATCTAAAATCCTAGTAGAGAAATGAGAATTTTCCTGTTTTATTTATTTTCTTGCTTTTACAACTTCTTTCAGCCCAAATGATTTTGAAATGTTTCAAAAGGTAGAAAGGCCGATAATTGTTCACTGAACAATTAGTCTACTAGTTTATTATATGTCTGTTTTTTTTTTTTTTTAAATAGAAAAAACATCCTGCATACAGATAAATAGATGAGAACGGAAGACCTTCTTTGTTGCTGTAGCAACAAGAGTTTCTAGTTATTATGTTCCCCAAACGAAGTTGGGGAACATATTGTTTTTACTCTGTTTCTTATTATTCATCGTCGGAAACCCACGGCTGATTACGCTTCGTTCCTCTCTCCATCACCCGTGGGTCCATTCATACCAATTCGCTCGTTCTCATGAATAATTAATGAGACAATTTGATTGGTCGCTCTTGGTACACCGAAAGCGATGTTGTCCAATGAGGTAGTCCCTTTCAACGCTCTTTCGCTTTATACATCAAAATGGCGACAATTGAGCAAGTGGCTTCAGAGAAATTCGGAATAAGCAAACTGAAGGCATTTCAGAAAGAAACACTAGAAAAACTGCTTGAAGGAAGGGATGTATATTTGTCAATGAAGACAGGGGGTGGGAAAAGCTTGTGTTATCAAGCTTTCCAAGTGTTGTGGACTGAAAAAAATCACCGTCCCTGCAATGTATTAGTGATATCTCCTCTCATTTCAATAATGAAAGAACAATGCGAGTTTTTGCAGTCACTTGGATTTACTGCAACATACATCGGTAGAAATTCGGAAGAAGATGCACAGATAGCAGATGAGACGTTTCAGTTTTTATTTACCTCTCCGGAAGCGATATTGTCTGTTAATAAGTGGCGAGATATGGTGACCAGAAGTCAACACTTCAAATTGATAGTAATAGATGAAGCCCACACTGTTTTACGATGGTATGTATCTGTGATAGTATAAAAACTGATGATTCTGTCCTACTCTTTGGCTTCAGAAAAATTGTATGTACAAGGAATATACTTCGCAAAAAAAAAATCAGGTTGCAATATCACTTTTAACTGAGATTACTTTTCACTGGTATATTAATTTTAGTGTCAAATCCACGTGCGTGATGATTATGGTGTTCGATTTTCTCTGTTAAATAAATGTACATTGTGCCAATTATGAAGAACATGCTTACTTGTTAATGTTAAATGCATTTCCAAAAAGCTGGTAACAAGAGCTTTGATTCGTTAGGCCAAAAAAAATAATAGTCTTGTTTCCTGCTACCAGCCAAAAAAAAATAGGGTAGGTAGGTAGGAAAATTATTTTATTTTATTTTTTTATTTTATTTTTTTCCGACAGCATTTTTTGGATATGAACTGAATACATGATCAAATTAAACATATCACAAGTCACTCAATATAATCTTTTACAATTAAATTTCATATCTTGATGCACAACAACTCAAGTGGTATTTTATAATATACAGTACACTGTGTAGAAAGCTCTTTTAGTTTTCTCAGAATTTTTTTTTTCAGTTATGGAATATGAAGGTATTTGTCAAGTAGATAATCAAACCATCATTCCTTTAAAAACTCAGCGAAGGACCATATGTGTTACAGAAACCATGAACTTTGTTAGATTACACTGTATTTGATTTCTGAGCAGGTTAATTTTATCGTTGTTTACCATTTGAAATCTAAAACAAAAAAAAAAACAAACAAAGATGATGACTGAATACATGTAAATTTGTAATTTAAGTGAAATATTTTAGTGAACAGGAACTAAATCAAGAACTAATGTTAATTGAAATTTCTTTTTTAAAAAGTGGAAAATAGTATTTTGTTTACATTAAACAGTATAGGACTATTGAAACAGAATGGGAATTAATTTTATTAATAAAGTCCATGCAATGGGTATTTTACTGATATTAGTCCCACCTATCATTTAATATATGTATGTATTTATTTCTTAAAATTAGTTTTAGTTAGTTAAAATTGCAAGTTGTAAAAGTAATTATCCAGAAGTTAGACATGTATTTATGGTGATAATTACGTTTAAAGATTGACTAGACTAATTATGTTTTCCTTTACTTGCAATATTACCGTTGGCGTTTCATGGTATTAGTCTAACCCCATATTTAATCATGGCGGTAAAAGTATCTACAAGACACGGGATCCTTCCATGTTTTCAACATTCATCACTACTTTTATGCTCTTTGCACTTGGATTTGGTAATAAAATTAAAGTATGACAATTTTATTTTATGTTAGCGATGTCGGCGACATTTATTTTATAATCGATGAGTAGCATCGAAGAGCTTCTAACAACTGACAATCGATCACTAGCAAAGATATCATTTAAAGTGGTAGTACTCGAAAAGGTTGTTATTACGCTTGTTTTTGTGTCCTTGTAGCGACACCGTTCCAAAATAACAGAGAGCACATGAGGCTGGCCTCTTCCAATGGCCGCCGCCATTTTGTTTTGTATTTATATCAGGGGAACTGAAAACGGTGACAGAACGACAAATTCCGGAAATATTTCGATTTTTTTCCGAATCGAAAAAAAAACTTTAGGGTCGGCCCCCAAAAATAGGGTCGGTCGGGTAGCAGGAAACAAGACTATTTTTTTTTTTGGCCTTAACAACATTTAAGTGGTATAATCGTTTTTTGCTTGAAGAAGCAGGACTGACGAACAAGCCTTTCTTCACCTTTGATTTGGGAGTTGGGGTAAGTTTTAATGTACCGATCACACGTTTTGTCCCCTTAGGCGTGGAAATGTTTTCAGAAAGTACATGATTCCGAATTCCTGGCATATCTTTTAAAGTCGATACGATCTTATCTCGTTCTTCTTTAATGCACACTAACCGTGTTTTTAGGTCATTATTCAGTTTTTGCACTCGGTTTAACTTGTTCGCACACATATTGCACGCAAAACCTTTGATATCGGCAATACACAGTAATTTTAATACTTCATGGTATTGTTCCTGACTTGTGTATGATGACAGGGACCTGTAGGAGCGGTCATTTATAATTTTACCGCATATAACACAGGACTTACTACTAGGCGCAGCCATTGTTGTTACACTAATTCTACATTTTATCACACATATTACACATAATCCTCCGATGTCACAAATGCAAAACAATTTTAATATTGTTCCTGGTTTGTAAATGACGATGTGGATAAGTAAGTACGGCGATATAATAAAATATGGTTTTTGTTACTGGGCGCAGCCATTGTTCTTCATTCGAGGTAACAGTATTTCTACCTTTAAAACAGGAGAGTTCTGCTTAACTATAACGGCTAATTTCATTGGACGACAAATTTGATGAATATTTATGAGAAACGAGCGAATTGGTATGAATGGACCCACGGGTGATGGAGAGAGGAACGAAGCGTAATCAGCCGTGGGTTTCCGACGATGCTTATTATGTTCCCCAAACGAAGTTGGGGAACATATTGTTTTTACTCTGTTTCTTATTATTATTATTATTTTTCTTCTCGGGAAAATTTTGTCCGCGAATGATCTTGTAAAGTACACATCCGATTAAGGGGAAACCTTTTTAGGGTAAGTAGGCATGTTATGTAGATTTGCGGAACGAAGGTCATTTTGCGCGCACGTGCTTGCAAGAGCGCGCACGTGCAACACGTGAAATGACCAATATGCTTGAAATTGCCGTAACTTTTACATTTTTCGATGTAATGCTTTGATATTTAGAATATATAGACATATTATAAATGTAGATAAGATGGCATTGTCAACATGCAATTTTGTGTGCACGTGCTTGCAAGAGCGCGCACGAGCAACACGTGAAATGACCGATTTCATTGATATAGGCGTAAATTTTTACCTTTTTAATGAAATGCTTTGAGACTCATAATATAAGGATATAGTAGTAGCATAGACAATATGACATGGTCAAAATAGCAAGATCTCACGCGCATGCACGTGCGCTTCGCTCTGATTGGCCGAAACTAAAGTCTCAATATCTTTCTTGTTTTTTGATGAAATCCTTTGAAATTTTGTACATAGCCATGCATTAGGATATCCTACAACATGATATATAACAATTTTCATGAAAACACGTGCATGCACGTTTGCTGTAATCTGATTGGCTGAAAATTTAAATACCTATAACTCCCTTGGTTTTCAATCAAACAGGATGGGATTTGGAACATAGATAGATATAATAGACTTCTACAAGAAGGTATGGTCACCATGCACATCCATACACGTGCGTGTACGTGCACTGCAATCTGATTAGCTGAAACTTTAAGTAGCTATAACTCCCTTAGTTTTCAACCAAACAGGATGAGATTTGGAACATAGATAGATATAATGGACTTCTACAAGAAGGTGTGGTCACCATGCACATCCATACACGTGCGTGAACGTACGCTGCAATCTGATTGGCTGAAATTTTAATCAGCTATAACTCCCTTGGTTTTCAACCAAACGGAGTGGGATTTAGAAAATAGATAGATGTAATGAACTTCTACAAGAAGGTATGCCACCATGCTCATGTATGCACTTGCGTGCACGTGAAATGAGTAAAATCAAAAATACACTTGAATGAGCGTATGTTTTAATACTTTTAGATTAAATACTTTAATATTTAGTATATTAAAGTATATAGATTGTGTAGACAAGATGATATGGTCATTCACATGCGCACGCGTGCAATGCTAAAATTTGAATGAACTTGGTACCCTTCTGGGTAAACGTTGTTAAACATGTTAAAGTCTCAAATGCATAAAGTTTGTCTTATTTAATGAAGCTTACAGGGAAAATGGCACCAAAACGGAGATGGGGAGTGTTTGGGGAACATCTGTAACGGTCCCCGTTACAATTAGCACTAGTTATGTTCCCCAAACGAAGTTGGGGAACATATTGTTTTTACTCTGTTTCTTATTATGTTCCCCAAACGAAGTTGGGGAACATATTGTTTTTACTCTGTTTCTTATTATTATTATTTTTCTTCTCGGGAAAATTTTGTCCGCGAATGATCTTGTAAAGTACACATCCGATTAAGGGGAAACCTTTTTAGGGTAAGTAGGCATGTTATGTAGATTTGCGGAACAAAGGTCATTTTGCGCGCACGTGCTTGCAAGAGCGCGCACGTGCAACACGTGAAATGACCAATATACTTGAAATTGCCGTA